TGTATTATTTTCTTTTGGCTGCCTTTAATATTTTCTCTCCATGTTGGATTTTCAAGAATTTGATTATGATGTTCTTAGATCTGGTTCTTTTTGTTTTTATCCTGGTTGGGGCTAACTGAATACTCCTATTTTTTCACAAAATTTGGAAAATTTTCAGGAACTACTTTAATGTCCGATTCCCTCTTTCCTTTCCCTTTGAGACTTCAGTTACATGTATTCTAGATTTCCTGCTATTGTACCTGAGGACAGGTCACTGAAGTATTGGTTAATTTTTTAAAATCTCTTTTCTCTCCATTCTTCATATTGGGTAATTTCTATAATTTGTCTTCAATCTTTAGCAGTCTCCAAAGTTCAATCGGTACATTTCAAAATTTCAGATATTTTATTAATCTGTGTTAAAATCTCCATTTAGTTATTTTCTTAGTTTTTATTTTTCTGTGGAGATTCTCATCTCTCCAGTTATTATTACCATTGTATCTCAAGGGCCTTGGACCTATATTTCACAGCTCTTTAAAGTCTTTCTCTACCAATTCCAACATTTGGGGCAGCTCAGGGTCTGTTTCTATGACTTTTTCTTTTCTTAAGTATGAGTCTTATTTAACTACTTCTTTGCATGTGTATTAATTTTTAATTTTATGCTGGACATTCTGGATGAAACTGTGTAAGGAATCAGATTATGCATCATCCCTGCAAATTTGTTGATTTCTTTTTTCCCCTATCAAGTAATTAAATGGTGTATACATTTTTTCTTGTCATGCTTAGCTTTAGTCTTTGTTAGGGCAGGTCTATTTTGGTTTTAAGCTTAATCCTAATGTGTGGTCCTTTCTAGAGGCCACGATCCTTACTCTTAAACATGGCCTTTCTGGGGTCTCAACTGAATGACTGAGGTACTCATTGAGGTCTTTTCATTTGGACACTCCACCATATCCCATCACTGCAGGTCCTCTCATATTTCCATTTAGCACTTAGTCTTGCAGCAGGGAATCTCTGCTACATGGAGCCTCACTCCTCACATTGGCTAAGAACCTATAATAAATCCTCATGCAGACTTCTACCCCATCTCCTCACACAGCTCCCTCTTCTTAGGCCACTTACCCTATAAATTATAGCTTTTCCTTTTTCAGTCTAGTATTCTCATCTCTGCCTCCTCAGCTCAGTGAGACAACAATTTAACTTGTTATCCATCTCTCCGAATTAGGGCAGGAAAATAACCCTCACAAAAAACTGAGAAAATTGTGGGGCTCACCATGTGTATTTCCCTTCTCGCAAGGATCATAGTCCTGCTGTGACCATTGTCCATTACCTGAAAACAGTTGCCTAATATATTTTGTCCAGTTTTATAGTTGTTTACAGTGGAAAAATAGGTCCATTACCAGTAACTCTGTCATGGATGGAATAAAAAAAATTCATGGATTTATATTTAATTTTCACAAAACTTTATTTTCACAAAACTTTGTGAAATAATATTTGTGAAGTAGGTACTATTATTATAATCTAACTTCATAGAGAATTAAACTCAGGCTAACTAATGAGTGGGGGAGTCAGAATTTGAACCTAGGCAGTCATATTCCAGACTCTTCTCCGATTCAATATACCATACTGCCTCTGTAACATGAAATTATGTTTATTTCCTTCATAGCATTTATCACATTTTTTCTCATGTATTTATTAATATTCATTTGTTTTTCACACTTTGACATTTCTTCTAATGTGTATAAATACCATACATTTCCTGTTACAACTGCTTCCCCACTTGCATAGCACAGGGTATTAGTAGGCATTCAATAAATATTTGTTGAATGAATGAATGAATGAATGTAGATGCCACCATTATAAAAAAAATTGAAAATCAGATCTTTTGTACATATTTGGTATTTTAGATTTCATCTTGCTTGCTACCTTGTGGCATCAAAATTCTGCAACGAAAACAAACAAACAAGAATCTACAGGTGAGAAACACGCAAAAAAGTGGCATGCATCATTAAAATCTTTACAATTATATACATCAAAATGTAATTATATGATAGAAAAAGAGTTATAGCACAATTTCTACTCTTGTTGAGAGTAGAAATCAATCTTAGGAATATTCAAAACACTTCCTGATAAACAATGGCACTAATTTGATGAGGTAAGCACAGAATTGATATGTTTCGTGAATCTAGGCATCACTTTTGGTTGAAATAAAAATACCATGGTATACATATCTGCCACTTTGGACGTGTTATTAGGAAAAAAATATTAATAATTGTTTCTAGAGCCTTTATATCACTTAGTTTCATATTTTAAATATCAATACACATCTGATTAATTTCAAAATGTATCTTTGTTGAACTTAAAACCATAAAGTTATGGTTCCTGTAGTCTTCCACATGACAAAACAATATGCATTTAGTTTTATCAGAAGCAAAACTACATGATGGTTTTTAAGCTAATTTTTGTGCTAACAAATCTCCTAAAGATATGCAGTAGACCTCACATTTACATAAAATTAAAGAAAGAATGCTTTAGCAAATGCAAATAAATGCAAAAAAGGAATATTTTAATTTTGATTCATGATTAGTATCAACCATCACAATATGGTAATAATACAAAAGCAAAGTTCTGCATTCATTGTATAATTAATGATTGTAAGCTATTTCTAGATTGAGAATTCTGATTAATTAATTTATTTTGAGAAATATATTTATTGATTATATATCAGTCTGTGTTTTAAAATCTGAGATCTTTAAAAACACTTTAATATTAGAATCATATGCACTGGCTTCTGCAGTTCTGCAGTATGCAGAACTGCCCAGTAAAATGATTTATTTCACTCAGTGCATTATTAATTGTATGAATTGACTGTTTAACCTTTATTGATTTGCATTTCTTATTTAATGTTCAACTTAGAAACAGAAGCAAAAGTTCTTATACTATAGAAAAAAAAGATAAAAGTTAATCTGAGTGTAATTGGTAAGATCATTTTACTATTCACCATTAAATATCCTCAGCAATTTTTAAGTCTTCAAAGAGTTCTCTTAGTTTTAAAACAAAAATTGCTAAATCTCAACAGTGAAATTATTGAAGTTTATCTTTGCATTGTTAGGACCTGTAGCATTTTATTGTTTCTTATATTTGGATCACAGTGCAATTTTACATTTATGTTCATCACTTATTTTTATAACACTGAGTTGATTTTTTATGTGATCATGCCATTTGGAACTCTTTTATTATTAAAAATGATTTAGGGGCACCTGGGTGGCTCAGTCAGTTAAGCTTCTTTGACTTTGGCTCAGGTCATGATCTTGCAGTTCATGGGTTCGAGCCCTGCATTGTGCTCCGTGCTGACAGCTCAAGGCTGGAGCCTGCTTCAGATTCTGTGTCTCCCTATGTCTCTGCCCCTCCCCTGCTCACACTCTGTATCTGTCTCTGTCTCTGTCACTCTCCCTCAAAAATAAATAAACTTTAAAAAATGATTTAAAAATCCATCAAACCCATTCTGATATCCAGGAGATATTTTTCTTAAAATGTTGGCCATGCTGGTGGCCCTCTTTATGTGTGGTGAAAACCATGGAGAAGGTGATAAATAGTTACTTTCTGTGCATCTTCATTTATTATTGTTTACATATGCCTATAGATTTTCCGGGTCAGTTCCAATTTCAGATATTTTTCCTCTTGTAATTACAAGTCACCCAAGTAGCCCAGGAATTCCAATATTTTGACATACTGAAATATATGTTACATTTCCAATATTGATCCTTTCAAATGGAAATGGAATAAAATTATTTGACAGACTGCATGTCCCAATATTGGGTTTGGAAACTATGGATACATAAAATGCTTCCAGAAAGTATTGGGTTGAATTTTCTTTTGGTGTCAAAGAGACTCTGCCTTGAGGTTCTGTAGTTGACTTAAGCAGGGAAATTTCTTTCAAGCAGGTTATCTTGTGGATTTTAAAGTGATTTTGTTGTCTGCAGGTCTTTGATGGCAAGGGTAAGCTTACAGATTTGAGATTTCCTTATGACTGTGAGGAATCTTGGGGAGATCTTTTAAATCCTCATGGATGTGGAGCCATAAATAATGTTTCCTATGCTGGCAGATCTCCCACTTACAAGATGGGTCTTAATATAACTGATAGTTAGGTTTCCTAGTGGTTATTAACAAGACAGGCATTATCTTCTCATGTTGATAGTGATTTGTTATTTGTATCCAAAAGAAGTGCAGAATGTGTGAGACCAGAGAATGAATAAGACAAGAAGTTCTAGGTAAATTGCTCAAAGTTAGGCAAGGAAGGGAGGAGGCATCATAATTCTAAGCAAACAGCTATTTGAAAAGCATAACATAATCACTTTAGCTTTGCTGTATATTAAACTATTACCCATGGTAAGAGTAAGGCATTTAGGAAACAGGACATATGAGAGGTACATGTTTACAGAAGAAAAAGAGGCCTGGGGGATTCTGGGAAGCCACAAGATAACATAATGATCCAGAGTTCTGAAGAAGGATAGACCTATAAAAAGAAATCTTTAAGGACAACGATAAAAAGTGTTTCACACCTTTTGGCAGCTGTCACACCTACCCTTGCAAAGCATCCTTTGAATCAGACATCCTATCATCAAATAAACCATGTACTGTCAACTCTTTGCTTATGGTTTAGTCTGAATTTCCTTCCACCATTTTCCATATCTTGTGCATTTTTGGAAATCCTTCTCATCCTTCTGATCCCTCACTTACCTTATTCACTCCTTCCTCTCTTCCTGTAGTAATTTGCTACTCCAGATATCTGCCTTTTTATTTTGCCCTGCATTATGTGTAGTTGTGTGTTTATTTCTTCCATTAGGGTTTAAGATGCCCTTTGTCCTCTTTATCATTATCTAGTTTAAAATAAATCAAGTACTAAAGAAATGTTTTTTGTTTTGTCTTTAAATTTAAATGAAATGGAAGTTGATAATACAAGCTCACATAGTGCCCTTTGCTTGCATGAACAGCGTTTACTTGTAGCCATTAATACTTCATTTTACCTGTGTGCATGATTCAGGGCAAGGTCGGGTTTCCTCATGCGTAGATAGCATGTAACAAGCTTTGTCTCAATGAAACTTGCCACACTTGCTATATCTTCAGCAGATGCTTCAAATGGTTTTCCCAGAGCTGCCCCTTTGCTACAAAGCTTAAAATTAAAAAACAAAAAAAAAAAACAAAAAAAAAATTTAAATTTCCTGATAATCTTGGCATATAATTGATCTTTTATATAAGCAAAACACATATATGTATGCATACTTTTTCCAAAATATCAGTTAAATATTAATTTTTTGATTATAAATTAAATAAACTATTCCTATTCACTATTATGTGACTATAATATAAAATAAGTAACACATTTTACTGCAAAATGCTTCCTGTAAAACATTTTAAAAGAATGATATATTTTAAGAGGATGCCATTTGCTGAGAATGTCTTTAAAAATAAAGCATATAATAAGCAAAGATATTAACAGAAAACCAGGTATAAATCATATTAAATACCAGTACTTTTATGAAAACCCAGCAGAGCAATGATCTAGCACACTATCAAGTCTGATTTAATATAATAAGGGGTATCAGAAGTAAACTCCTAGGAACCATTAACGTGATCGGTGATTAATTTGAGTCTGAATCATATTCTCTAAGATGTTATTGAAAGAAAAGAAGTGAAAATTTATTAGAATTTATTGGCAGAGACCACAGTATCTGAAAAACATGGCAAGAATGTGGAATTCTTAATAAAAATTCCAGGAAGTCAGTAGTTTCTGGGCACCACAGATAAACTGCAGATGAAGAAAATAATTAATTTTTTAGGAGAACCCCAAACATTAAGAAGTGTAAATAATATGACAACGATAGATTGGCACTTGTTTTCCCCTCAGAGTTTTCTACTGTTCTTTGGAATTAAGGCTGATGGGGAAGAAGAAACCCCACTTTCTGTTTAGTGACCTTATTCAGAATAATTGCTTTTTTGCTCTTTTCTATTTCCATCTGACCATATACTGGGTAAAATTGTCTCATGAGGGATAGTAATATTTGGAATTAATATCTGTTTATAAATACCTTAATATAGAATTTCTTATATTCTAAAAACTGTTTAAATGATATAGTTTAAACTAATTTTTCTTTTATAGATTAAGTCAACACTGGCTTATCATTTACATTAACATTATGGTCAACTATTTTTTAAAGTGAAATTTGTGGGGCGCCTGGGTGGCTCAGTCGGTTAAGCGTCCAACTTCAGCTCAGGTCACGATCTCGCAGTCCGTGAGTTCAAGCCCCGCGTCAGGCTCTGGGCTGATGGCTCAGAGCCTGGAGCCTGCTTCTGATTCTGTGTCTCCCTCTCTCTCTGCCCCTCCCCCGTTCATGCTCTGTCTCTCTCTGTCCCAAAAATAAATAAAAAACGTTAAAAAAAAAATAAAGTGAAGTTTGTTTGAGAATGGCTATATTCTGTTCTAAAATGTATTTCTCTTAATTTTATCCAAAAGCTATAAGCTTAAATAAAATCTAGAGTCTAGATGTTTAATATCACTAGTTTGAATTGATAGTTACCTGATACGATTGTCTTTTGTCTGGATATCCTGTCAATTGTGAGAATTCATATTATTTAAAAGTTTTTTCCTATCTGGTGAAAACTGTTACTTCATTTATTTGGTCAATAAATATTTATTAAATCTAATACTAATTGCCAGACAAATATTACCACCTTTATATTTTAATTTGCATTAGACAGGTCTTTTTAAAATGAGTTTTGGGGTCCCTCAGTGGCTCAGTCAGTTGAGAGTAGGGCTCTTGATTTCGGCTCAGGTCATGATCCTAGAGTCATGGGATGGAGTCCCACATTGGGCTCCACACTGAGCATATAGCCTGCTTAAGATGCTCTGTGTGTCTCTCTCTCACCCTCTGCTCCCCTCCCCCCCCCACCACCTTTCTGTCTCTCAAATAAATAAAAATTAAAAAAAGATAAAGTGAATTTTGGCTGGTTTTAGCTCTGTGTAAATTCCTATTTTTTTAAATCCCTTGCCTATTTCCATTGACATGTTAATCTCTTATTTATTATAAGAGCTCTTTAGACATATAAGCTATTATCCCTTTTCCTGTAAAAACTATGTATACATGATCAAATATAAGCGTCTTTCCTTCAAATTATCTTTTAGAGGGGCACCTGGGTGGCTCAGTTGTTTAAGCATCCGACTTCGACTCAGGTCATGATCTCACAGTTTGTGAGTTCGAGCCCCGCGTCAGGTTCTGTGCTGACAGCTCAGAGCCTGAAGCCTGCTTCGGATTCTGTGTTTTCCTCTCTCTTTCTGCCCCTTCCCCATTCACGCTCTCTCTCTCTCTCTCTCAAAAATAAATAAACATTAAAAATTAAGAAAAAACAAATTATCTTTTAGAAAAATAGACAAATTTAACTCATGTTCTTAAAAGGATTCTCAAAGTACATACTATAAAACCTTTTTCTCAATTATTTTAGAAGAAAAAAAGGAAAGACGATTTGTGGATGACCTTAGTTTCGATGTTTTATAAAGATCACCCGATTAATTGGTAATAAAAGAGACAAAACATTTAACACTGATTTAGTAACTATTCCTGAGTCTGACCCTCACAAATGTCAAGGTGGTTATAAACACATCTTGAAATATACTTTAAGCACTGTAGTTTGAACATAGCAGCTTGGGATAGCATCTCCCTTCTGCCAATCTGATCCTTTAGGACCTAGAAATACCTACACGGACAATCTTCCAGGGGAAAAAAAGATTTTTGAATGGAATAGCTCTTCATAAAGCCCAAATCAGTAGAAAATGAAGTGAGTAAAAATTGTGTAGTTTTGTTAGTATATCAAAGCATTAAAATTCTAGACCTTCTTCATTAACTTTATCTTCTAAATGAAATCAGCACTTTTTTCAAGTCTCAAATACCCAAACCTCCTGAATTCCTCATATAAAATCTTACACATATAAAACAATAAGCAAACAAGTCACCCATTGAGTGCATCTTCCTGTCTGTGTTCCTCTCTGATGTGATGGAGCAGATAAGCCTCCTTTCTCAGGCAAACTTTTTTTTTTTTTGATAGAGTGGAGAGTGTGGGGTGGGAGGGGCAAAGGGAGAGAGAGAGAGAGAGAGAGAGAAGAGAGAGAGAATCTCAAGCAGGCTTCACACCCAGCAAGGAGCCTGCTGCAGACTGCTATCTTGGGACTGTGAGATCATGAACTGAGCTGAAATCAAGAGTCACCCAGCTGAGCTGAAATCTGACAGCCACCCAGATGCCCCCTCAGGCAAACTTTTTGTGGGATGAAGGTGTGGGCTGTTCAGGGAGTAGTTACAGGATGACCTCAATGAGGATATTCAGATCTTACATGGCAAAAAATAGACCTTCAGACTATTAAAGGCTTTTTCTACAAACGCTGAAAGTGAAGAATAAATGTTGTTAGGAGATCAGTCTTCTAACAACAGTGATATTCTCTACTTCTATAAAATTGAAGGCCAGAATAAGAATGAAAATGATCAACCTTTAGACTTATTTGAAATAAGCCTTGCAATTAGGCAAATTGTTATCAAATATGCTGAAATTAAAGGTAGGATTATAGGTAAATGTAGACAAAAGTTTGGCATCAGTATTGCTTAAAAATTCCAGATATTTTACTGAATTTTTAAATTTATATGCAGACATTTGTACAGACTTTATTTCTCTAGAAGATAAAGGACTTTAGTGTGGTATGAGTTGAATGCAGGAAAAGTGACTTTGTTCAACTAATATTTGCCTGAAATTATATACGTAAGTCTTTGGTAAAATAAGTCATGAACACAACAGAATAAAAACTTTTAGACTATTGGATAATACATCAGTGAGGAGACTTTGAACTGGGAATTATTATTATTGGGTATTAATTTTTTGTTTCCAAAGGAAGACTAAAATATTTTTCAATGAAGCATGGACAAATTAAAAGAATATTATTTAAGGGAAAATACAATGAAAAATCCTATGGGTATAGTTATTGTTCTGATGAGAAGCTAAATATTAAAATTTCAGTAGTAAATTAGAATCATGGGTTCAAATTTTAATAAGAATATACATATTTATAAAATATATATGATAATTTTCTGAAAACAAGATAATACTTTGGAGTTATAAAACATTTTTTCTAAAATATCTCAAGGTTCTCTTAAGAAATAAATATCAAAATTGTTTTCAGAAATTTTGTCATAAAGAAATTTCAAGGTTTGTTTAAAAATACAGATAAAAATTGGGGTGCTTAGGTGGTTCAGTCGGTTAAGCGTCTGACTTCGGCTCAGGTCATGATCTCATGGTTCGTGGGTTCAAGCTCCGCATCGGGCTCTGTGCTGACAGCTCGGAGTCTGGAGCCTGCTTTGGCTTCTGTGTCTCCCTCTCTCTCCACCCCTCCCCTGCTCCTGCTGTCTCTCTCTGTCTCTCAAAATCAAATAAATGTTAACACACACACACACACACACACACACACACACACAACCTATAAAAATAACACAAATCCCCATAAGAGCAGAAATAGCCAATATTAAATATTATATTGTGGGTCTTATTCTTAAAATGCAACCATGTATTTTTTTTTTAATTTAAGATCAGCATTATCAAGACTAATATTGTTAATAGGGTTCTCCCCCTTTTAGGATATTATATGATGAGTGCTTGCCCACTATATTTCTGAAACATAATTTTGAGTGATTCCTGAAGATCTAGGGAAGAATAAGAAATTTGAAAAATATGCATTATTTTAGTTAACAAATATCCACAAATAAGAGTATATGTCATCCATCCAATAAATAATTTTCAAGGTTTTTATATTGTTTTTGGAGTTACAAAAACATCTAAAGATAGACAATAATTTATCCATAACTCTATCACAATGTGTAATTGCCATTAATTTTTGATATATTTCTTTCTTTTTTAATGTTTATTCACTTTTGAGAGAGAGAGAGAGAAAATGAGCAGGAGAGGGTCAGAAAGAGAGGGAGACCAAGAATCCGAAGCAGACCACAAAACCCAACGCAGGGCTCAAACCCTCAAACCGTAAGATCACGACCTGAGCCAAAGTCAGACACTCAATTGATTGAGCCACCCAGACGCTCCCCCCTACCTTTTTCTTTTAATGTTTGGCATATTTCTAATATC